CTAGCTTCAGCAATTAAATGGACGTTACTTAGCTTTTAGCAATAATTATGTACAATATAATAAAATATTTAACACAGAAAAGCTAAAGACTAATTATACAAACTAGCTTCAGCAATTACATGGACGTTAATTCGCTTTCAGCAATCAAACGGACATAATAACAATGCAAAACAGTAATTAATAAATTATAGAAAAGTACTTAACTTCGGTAAGATCAGGAACAGTGCTGTCGGCTCGGCGCTCTCACAAAAAGTGTGTTCCCAACTGACAGTCAGCCGTTTTATACCCGACTACCAGGAAACCACGATGTGCCAGAGCGCCAACCAATCAGAACGATCGTTTCAAACGGAAGTTATCACAATATTATAAAACTAATTCTAATCGATATAAAAGTGTGCTTCTTATGACCTATAAATCATTATATGAATTATCAATAGCTATTCACATTTTACTATTTGAATTTAAGACAATATTCTATGAATAACATGTGATCACGCGGTGCTAGAAAACATTCTGCCGGAAGTTATCATAAAACTATTTCTAATGTTTCTTATTATAATGATACTTACAATTCATTATTTATTATATGATTAATCAACACCTATCCATATTTTACAACTCAAGTTTCATACAACAATTCATGACAAACATTGTAATGAACAAACACGTTGTACCTGAAGATCTTATCACAACTTAATTATTAAAACAATGAGCAAGTATCAAACTATCAATGATATTCATCATCATAAATATAAATACTATTTATCATACACTAACTATATCATAATATTGTTATTTGACACCATAATATATGTTTACAATTTCTTTGAGTGACCGAACACCTAATTAATGAAAACATCTGCTAAAACAATTTACTTGATTACAAAATTGTTTCTAAATTAAACTCTTATTTATTATGTCTGTAAGGCAACTGTTAAGTACATCGAAACTGGTTCATACTTATAGTATAATATAACACGTGCGTTGCGTGCGGTAGAGGAATAAGTTACTATAAGATGTAAAAAAAACTACTCAAACTATTCCAAGGGGTGAACCAGTCCATGAAACTCAACAACTTTCCCCAAGGAACATAGGTTGAATAATGAAAAAAAATTTCCTTCCCTGCCCTACAAATTTAACTTGGTCGGCTATCGAGACTTCTGGAGCATTTTGTATGGGAGGTCCAATTATTTTTTCCTACAGTAGGTAAAAAAATAACTGCACGTATTTTACGACTAAACCAGTCCATGAAACTGAACAACTTTTCCTAAGAAACATAGGTCGAAATACGAATAAAAATTTGGCCCTCCCATTCAAACTGAACCGGCCGGCCAGAACATTTTGTATAGGAGGTCCAAATTCTTTTTTCATATTTCGACCTATGTTTCTTAGGAAAAGTTGTTCAGTTTCATGGACTGGTTCACTCCTTAAAATATTTGCAGTAATTTTTTTTACTCCTTATACAGGGTGTTAGGGACGGTGTGACGAAAACTTTGCTGGCATGATCAGACCATCAAACTAAACAACTTTTACTATGGAGCCAATGGTGGTAAACGAAAAAAAAAATTTCAACCTCCCATACAAAGTCAGTCAGCTGATCGTAAATTTTGTATGGGAGGTCAGAATTTTTTTTTCGTTTTCCATCATTGGCTCCATAGTGAAAGTTGTTCAGTTTGATGGTCTGAGCACGCCTGCAAAGTTTTCGTTACACCGTCCCTAACACCCCATATTTTGAACTACCTATGTTTCTTGGGGAAAGTTGTTTTCATCCTATCTAATCGAAAAGAACGCGCCGCAAAGTTCTTTTATTTGCACTTTTTAAATAAAGAACTCAACAAATGCGAATAAAACTACTTTGAATTTAGAACATCTTGATGTTCAGTCATCGCCCAAGAAATAGAACGCAAATATTGTTCGAATAAAGGCTGTAGATATGGGACGACGGCCCATAGTCGCGCGTCCCCAATAGAACTAAATAAAAGATACGCGCGAATTACAGTGCGTAATTTTCACCAAAAATTACCTACACGTATGTTAGAATTTTATTTAACTTTTCGAAAAATTAGTTCAAGTGACAGTGAAAGTATAACATTGCAATAAAATATGAGGCGCCTTTTATTTTCTCATAGAGGGTGATGAAAAGTAGAGTGAATTACTCGGGTGCAAAATATATTTTGGCTTCTGGGATTCTACTCTAGAATCCCTTACTTCGCTCTGAATTCAAAAAAAGCGCCCTCGCCGTAGAAGTGTTGTTTTGCGCCCTTATGATAACTACTAAAAGTTTCTTGAACTGGTTCACCCCTTACAATATCTGCAGTTTTTTTTTTACTCCCATATTGGAGTCTAGATTCGAACACGTACTAACATAATAGTAAAGCAAAATAAAAAACCAGCCAAGAGCGTGTCAGACACGCCCACAAATAGGGTGTGTAGTCAATGTTAAATAAGTATCAGCGTTACGAAGTTACCTAATTTCGTTGCTGGTTTGTTTGCAGTAGTAAGTAGGTATGCTTACGAACCACTTAGCTTAAAAAACTTTTAAGCTAAAGTGGTTCTAAATCAGTTAGTTTGTGTCAATGGGTAGGTGGATTTGCTGGCGATAGTACAGAAATCTGTATGTACATGTATTAAAACTTACAGGTCGGTGTCAAGTACCCCTGCAATAGTTTTCAAAAGAACATTTCGATAGCGTGTCTTAGAAACAGCTACAAAAAAAATATGTAGGTACAGCTTGATGGGCCGCTCCTGCAGGCTTATCACTTTTGGTAGGTAGGTACCTAAATAAATAAAAAGTATACATACCTATTACCTACACAACAATTTAATAAGAAAACAAAAACAGAAGTGAAATAAGTAAGTAGAAGAAATAGAAAGAAACAAGCATCCTTCGACATGGGTCAACTCGGATTTGCTCCTTCACATAAAAATAATAAAAGAACACCGGTGTTGGTACTGTAGCCAACTACCTATATATCATCAAGATGTACCTAACTCAGGCGCTCAGACTTTGAAACAGGAGGGATCGAAGTGGGCTTTCCCCTTCAAAGTCAAGTAACAAACTCACATCGGCGGTAGTCTGGGGTTTCTCCAGGTTATTCCATCATCATCGTCATCCATCACCATTATCTTTGCATGCCCTAATCGTACAAATCACGCATAAAATAATAACCATGAGACAAACATCGAAAATGAAAACGTACCATTATGTGTAAAAATTGTGCATGAATCACTCAAAAAATAAGCGATGTTTTTAGATGTTTGGTATGGTGGAAGATAAACGTTCTGATCATATTTTATGATTAGTGAGAACCTTTATCAGCACTGGAGGTACTCTCTGTCTACCTACGTGACGGAACACCATGAACTCGGCAAAATATTAAAGGGCGCCACACACCGGGCCCGTATGCGTGACGTGCACGTTATCACGCGCATAGAGATGACGTTGTATCGTCTGGGATTGTATGAGGCACCGCACACCGTGCTACTCGCGTGATTACGTGCACGCATACATAGGTAGGTCTCTCATACAATCCTATACGATACAACGTCATCTCTACGCGCGTGATGACGTGCTGCACGTCAAGCATACGCGCCCTGTGTGTGGCGCCCTTAAGAGATACGAAAATGTCTGTATTGAAAAATTTGTTTAGCATGATGTGCCGCTTCTGTCGGCTCAAAAACTTCTCTCGGCGAAACGAAGTTCGCGGGCACCAGCTAGTATACAATAATTGTATACTATTCATACAAAAAATATAGACAAAAAAATCAAGAGCATGTCTAGAAACTGATGCGCACGATGCTCTGGGGTCAAGTTACTATTTTTAATGGCTCAATAAATGCGACAAGTACCAATGTAGTATCGTTTTTATAGAAAACAAATACAAGGAATTCATTTTTGATGCTTAAAACGTATGATTCCATACATAAAAATATATTTCAATACGATAATAATAACAATACAATTACAAGCAATTTTGGGTATAGAAAAAACTTTAACTCGTCATATTTATTAAAAACTTTCATTCATATAATCTCCTAGTTTACAAAAAATTACTTTTTATGGTTGTGTACTTTTTAAATATTAAAAAAACGCATTGTGAAACAATTTAAGCAGTACCTACTTAGGTACTCCAGACATAATTTTTACAGGTTTGTTAATGTATTCTGGTTGAGCGAAGGTAGAGTAGAATAAATAGATTACCTTACATTTTTTTAAAGAATATGTATATTAGCCGGTTGTAAATTAGCCAATCTTGCGAACTTTTGACTTTAAGACAATATATTTGTATCAAAAGGTGGGTAGAGTGGGTGCAAAAAAATATTTTGAGCTCAGCAGATATTATAGTTTTTGCAATGAATTAGCATTTTATTATAAACTGCAAGAAAAAAGAGTAAATAAATAATATATCCGAAAATAGCTGTTTAGGGGGTTCTCGGCCACTTCATTCAGTTTTCGGCCGTTATATCAACTACTTCTCGGCCACCTTGCAACTCATTGAAAAATAACCCTTGTTCTCTTGACGTTAGAGTTAGTTGAGGACTTGACATGATATCTATTGGGATTGTAATGCACTCACAGTGCTATATTATTCTCACAAGTGAAAATAAGAAATAGAAAAGATGACGTACATCGACCGGGGATCGAACCCGGGCCGCATGGGTAAACGCCCCACCGCTCTGCCACTGAGCTATCGATGCACGGCCGATGGACGCCAAATTTTCTATCTCTTGATGCTCGTCTCCAAGCGACGATCCAGCGACATCTATAGTAAGTATTTAGAACTTACTACATGGTTATTTTCACTTGTGAGAATAATATAGCACTGTGAGTGCATTACAATCCCAACAGATTGATAAAGCAAGCTTCATCATATGGTTTGAATTCCACTCATAATGTGGACTAACCATGTAGTAAGTTCTAAATACTTACTATAGATGTCGCTGGATCGTCGCTTGGAGACGAGCATCAAGAGATAGAAAATTTGGCGTCCATCGGCCGTGCATCGATAGCTCAGTGGCAGAGCGGTGGGGCGTTTACCCATGCGGCCCGGGTTCGATCCCCGGTTGACATGATATGTAATGTCATGCAAAAAAGGGAACGATAAAGCCAGAAAGCAGCTGTTCTTTCTTTTCTCTAAACTCAGAAGTCCCGCACCGTTGAAAACATGCACCCAACGATGGCAGTACTCCTTTAGCTCTTAAAGCGCGCCTCTTATCAAGCCTACGTCTGGACACAAGCATTAGTAAAAGCTCTAGACATGCCTGAACCATCTGATTGGGGACGGAAGAAGGACAGGGACGAGTGGCAGCCACTTTAGACTTCATGTGGAAAAATGCTAAGGTGCGGCTGTAAAAAAATAATGCACCGGTAGGTGCAAATACGGGAAAGCTGCACTGGTTGAGTTATACAACTCAAGAATCACCTGCTTGTTGTGATCCTCGTTAAAGCAGACGCTGTTAATCATAACATAATTTTATTCTTATCTACCATTAAAAAAAGCAAATATCTCAAGACAGAAACATTTAAGTGACTTTGTTTCAAATAAACCTTTCCTTAGCTCTAAAAGACTTATTCAATATTACTGAAAAAAAGAGTTTTTGTCCCACTTTCACTTGTATGGGAGGGGGTCCACATTTGATATAATTTCATGTCGATAGCTCTAAAACTGACGAAGATATAAGAGCGCGGCATACAGACAGACAGACAGACTTGACGAAATGATAAGGGACTACGAAATCCTAAAAAGAAATTTAATGTATTTATTCTACCCTTTTTTCTCTAGTCAAAGATTCTACCTTACCTGCGCTCAACCAGAATACATTAACGAACCTGTAAAAATTATCGCTCGTGCATCGCATCGCTCGCTTGCTATGTCTGGAGTACCTAAGTAGGTAGTTACTCCTTAAATTGTTTCACAATGCGTTTTTAATATTTAAAAAGGACACAACCATTAAAAGTAATTTTTTGTAAACTAGATGATTATATGAATGAAAGTTTTTAATAAATATGACGAGTTAAAGTTTTTTCTATACCCAACATTGCTTTTAATTGTACTCGTATTGTTATTATTATCGTATTGAAATATATTTTTATGTATGGAATCATACGTTTTAAGCATCAAAAATGAATTCCTTGTATTTGTTTTCTATAAGAACGATACTACATAGGTACTTGTCGCATTTATTGAGCCATTAAAAATAGTAACTTGACCCCAGAGCATCGTGCGCATCAGTTTCTACACATGCTCTTGATTTTTTTGTCTATATTTTTTGTATGAATAGTATACAATTATTGTATATTTTTGTAAACTACATATAATAAGCTTTGTTATAGTATTTTTTGTCTTCATACAGACCAATGATTTTAATAAAATATAACGTGTCGAAAATATTTTTTGAAAATTGATGGTCATTCAATTGTTAAATAAATAATATTTTTGTATGGAATCATACTTTTTAAGCACCAGAAATGAATTCTTCGTGTTTGTTTACCATGAAAATGACACCAAACTTGCTATACTCACTTAAATGAGTCCGTCAAAAAATTATCATAGAAATGCGTTAGTTGCCCCCTTTGACCTCCCCCCGCGCCCCCGCACTGAATTTTTTTTCCCTCCACATCTTAAAATGATCATCTAGGGTTACTCTATTTGTGGTAAAAATTTGGTTAGCTCTAGGTGATGTGTCACAATTTTTGCCCTTTTGTAGGGAACGTATCTTCTACTATAAGGAAAATTAATTTGTAGAAATTTCTTTCATAAATTTTATGACTTGACAAATGTCATAACAAGCGTCTCGCCGAGTGACCAGTCAAGGAGGTACTAACTTTGCGCGATTGACCCTCTTTTTTTCCCCGCCCACTTTGGCTCTCATTCCGTGGGGTCAGTTTTGGAGCATAGTTACACTTCCTGAACATCTATAATTCGTTGCGTATAGATAAGTGCTTAATATTGTCAAATGTTTTCGTTGTTTTAACAGTCAGCGTTTCGCAAATACTTTGTCCTGTGGGCAAAATTAAACAGGGCAAAACGGATAAAGGTTGGACAGTCTTCTAAGGCTGGACTATCTGGAATTAAAACAAGAAATGCACCCAAAAAAGCATTTAATGAAAGTACCTAAGTGTACAGACAGATGCACGTTCTGCAAAGAAAGAGAGTATCCCCATCCCCCCACGGTTTTTTAGAGCTGCGCAACTATCCGTGCGGGTGCGCGACTATCCCTTTTTCAAGAGGTCAAATAATAGGTAAGGGAGACCGAGGGGTGTTGGATCATTTTTAACATTTTGCTTCGTAACACAAAATTCTTTAAAAATAAATCGTTTTTGTTTACACCAATCGATAGCAAATTTCATTAGCTTTCAAATAATATACATGTTATAAATACAAGTAAAAACTCTTTAATAGAAACTCAACTTTAGTCGAGCAAGTCATTTTGATCCAACACCCCTTATACCGAGGGGTGATGGATCAGGTACAGAGGGGTGTTGGATCATTTTATGTTAATGTCATTTTAATAAAGGCTTACTTGAAAATTGAAGTGTATTTACTAAAAATTAGCCAAATAATTAAGTGTTAAAAATTATCTAGGGGCACGGTAGTGCCCCCTCCAAGTCGAGCCAAGCGAAGCGCAAGGGCATTAACTACCGTTCCTCGAAGGGCTTAGTCGTTTTTTTGAACTCTCATAACTTTAGTTTTCGATATACCAGATCGATCAAATCCTCAGGATATCTTGTAGATAGTAACCTTATTAAACATGCAAAATTTTAATTACGTAGCTTTAATACTTTTGAATTTAAGGATATCTAAAAAAACGACGATTTCTTTACTCACTGACACACTCACTCACTGATGATCATCAAAATGTTCGGATACAACCTCAAGTGAAACAGCTGAAATTTACTGAAAGTGAAAGTCGGAGTCCGAGTCCGAGTCCGAGTCCGAGTCCGAGTCCGAGTCCGAGTCCGAGTCCGAGTCCGAGTCCGAGTCCGAGTCCGAGTCCGAGTCCGAGTCCGAGTCCGAGTCCGAGTCCGAGTCCGAGTCCGAGTCCGAGTCCGAGTCCGAGTCCGAGTCCGAGTCCGAGTCCGAGTCCGAGTCCGAGTCCGAGTCCGAGTCCGAGTCCGAGTCCGAGTCCGAGTCCGAGTCCGGGTCCGGGTCCGGGTCCGGGTCCGGGTCCGGGTCCGGGTCCGGGTCCTGGTCCGGGTCCGAGTCCGAGACTCTGAGTCCGAGTCTGAGTCAGAGTCCGAGTCCGACTCCGAGTCCGAGTCAATGTCTAAGTCAAAGAATATGAGGATGAGGATGAAGATGAGGATGAGGATGAGAATGATACCAAATTATTAATAACGTATTCGGTTACAAGTCACAGCGCGTGGTGCCTTTGATCACCTATTTACACCCGGCCGGCACAACACGAGTAGTGTTCGTGTACGTCTATTAAATTAACCATACAAAATTTTACCGAGGTGTGTTGGATCGGCCTGATCCAACACCCCTCGGACGAAAAATCGGGTCAGTTTGAAAAAAAAATGAAACTGAGATAAAACCACAGCGAACCAAGACGTACCAGTGGTACCATTTGAATCCTTAATTTGTAAGGTTTCATATCGTATGAAACCTAAATGAAAATATAAAAGCTCCTCCAAAATATTAGACTGTCAAAAAACAGCAGAAAACTTAGTTTTGTCCATTTTTTTGACGATGATCCAATAAAAACAAAATGGCGCGCGATTGGTCAGGGACGCTAACTAAGGGGTCAACAAGGGGCAGAAATAGGCACACTTGCATTGTAGTCTGCTCGCTAACGGTTCTACTTTTCGAGAAAACAAAGCTGATCCAACACCCCTATGATCCAATTCCCCTTGGTCTCCCCTACTGGATTTACAACAAAACAATAAACATTAAATTCATGAATTAAGGCTTTAATGAAATATTAAAGATCAATCCTCTAATCTGTAACGATAATTTTGTAAAAGCATTTTCCAAAAGGTGCGATTCTATCCGTAATTTACCCTATTGCCCGCCCGTCCCCTACTTATGAAGAATAAGTATTGGTAAAAAATATTCATAGGTAAATGGTAGACGGAAAGCTACTGAAGAATGCAGTGGTGTAGGTAGGTATAAGTACAGCTTCAGATAGTGGGGGGGGCGGTCACAATCACAGCAATTATGTATTCTGTGGCTAAACTGCACCACTCAGACATGCATTACGAGCAAAGTGAGCATAATATTTCACGTTGAAAAGACAAACGATTAGACCTTCGAGCATTTCCGTCCGTCCCGTCCGTCGGAAATGCTCGAAGGATTAGACACACCACCGTGCTGCAACCATCTCAACATTCTTTGTGAGCGAAGCAAGCTAGACATTTCGCGTCAAAATTTCACGCGAGAAGATCAAGAATGCATGACCTAAGTTTAGTTAAAACGAGATCAAATAGATAAGTATCTAGGTAGGTACCTTTTTCACACAAACACCTGAAATAGAACTCCATTGAAACTTATTTTAGTTATGGAAGTCAAATGTCAATAGGTACAATTTTTTTACAAAAAACTGGCAACGAAGCACCGAAATCGTTTTGACGGATGCCATATATTATGCTACGAAAAAGAAAAACGCCTTTTATTTTTCATTCAATTTTCCAAAGTAGCCAGTTATTTGTAAAGAGTGGACCTCATTATTATAAAACTACTTAATTTATGAAAGTGAATAATTTTTACAAAGAGCTGGCCACTTGGCACTAAAATAATTTTGACGGATGCCATAAGCTACGAAAAAAGAAAAGCACCTACTTTTTCTTTTCAGTAAGATTTGCAAAGTTGCCAGTTATTTGTAAACAGTACCCACTCATTGAAATTAAGGTAGATGAGTCGATTACCGCCTGTCGGGTTATATCGCCTAGGTTGAAAAAAGTAGGAAAAACAAGAATAATTTCCGAAACCTGCATGGAATAGCAACATTGTAGTGTTGCCATTCCGCACTGAGCGCGGTGAGCTCCTCACCCACGCGTAATGCTAGTGGCCGCGTGTTGTTCGTGGGAGATGTTTTTGTTGGCTGCGCTTAAAAAAATACGTGAAATTAT